TTCTATGATTCTATGAAGAAACTAGATCCCTCAAGCAGGAAGGTCTGGGTGTGAGAGACAGGAGGAGAAAAAGGCCATGTCAACCAGCTGGGATATTACTTGCTACCACTGCTGGGGGGAAATGCTACAGTAAGTGGGACTGCCCTTATATGTAATGTGGACTGGGGGAATTTTGCAGCTAGACTGGGGTGATGGAGACATCTAGGAAGAGTGTGAAAACAATCCCCGTAAGGGTGGGCCATAGGCTAGAGGATATTGACCTAGTAGCTGGCTGTTCGCTCTTGCGGAACAGGCTGATTAAAGTACAGTGGTTTTGGGAGGGCGAAACCCTATATGTGGAATGCATACACAGGGAGAAAAAAATAAATATCCAATGGCAGTAGTGCCATGGAAGGTTCCAATAGAAAGGGGTCAGGGTAGTGGAAACCTTGCCCCATCCGGTGGTCAGGGGACGGTGTGAAACACGTTCCCTTTAAGGAGAAGAAAGGAGGCCTGGGGAAAGGAACCTCAATGGGGAGTGAGGAAAAGAGGGGCTGGGATTAAACATGGACCCAGAGCCCACGAGCTGTGATATGAGAAAACCCTAAACAGATAAGCCAAGAAAGTGGATCAGAAAGGCTGGGCAAAGGAGAAGCAGGAAAGCGAAAACCCTAGAAAAATACCAACAAGCTAAGAAAGCAAGGCCTAGGTGGGGAATACCAGGCAAAGAAGCTGGAAAAGGGGATGAAGGAGTAGGAGTCACCCAAATAAAGGACAATCTGAAGAAAGGGCAGGAAGTGAACCAAGATACCCCAGTTAGGGGGACTGTAGGACAGAGCGACCACACAAAGCCTCTTAAGGGGGCTCAGAGACCCTTGGAGTGGGAGGGGTCTGTTGGGGAAGAAACCCCAGTGTGCTCTACAAAGGAAGGAGCAAATCCAGAGCCAGGATCTGTAGGCTGTCCCTGGTGTGATGACCCATGGGAGGAAATTGAGTTGTGGGGTAAACCCCCACCTAAGGAGTGCTTATTCTGTGGCTGGAGGATGGAAGCCCCCATGGGTGGCCCATGAAAAAGCAGACTAGAGAACTGCAGGGGTGGTGAGAGATCGCCGCCTCCATAAGGAAGGTAGAGCTTGGTCAGGCAGAAAACTGAGCCCTAGTGGAAAAGAGGGCCCCTAACCAAGCTGAGGAAACAAAATGAAGGAGGTGGATGACAGGGCACTGTTAACAGCCTGACATGTTCACAAGTAACTGGCTTAGCCACTGAAGAACCCAACCAGTATAAAAGGCTAACCCAGTGAGCAGGAAGAGGCTCCTCATTACTGCTGCTCTATGGTTGTATTGTACCTGGAACGTAAGAGGAGACAAAGAAAAACATGTGGTGAAGGTACCTTGGTGGATGCGCATGCTGCTTACTTCACCAAGCGGGCTTACCACACGGGGTCTCCCTGGAGAGGAAAGGGGAGTCTGTTTCCAGGAACAAATACTTAATAATGGGCTTTTCAATCTAGCAGAGAATGGTTGCAAGTAGGGCTGTCAATTAATCGCAGTTAACTCACGCGATTAACTCAAAAAAATTAATCGCAATTAATTGCACTTATAACAATAGAATACCAATTGAAATTTATAACATTTTTGGATTTTTCTATATTTTCAATATTGATTTCAATTATAACACAAAATACAAAGTGCACAGTGCTCACTTTATATTATTTTTTATTACAAATACATGCACTGTAAAAAAAGAAAAGAAATAGTATTTTTCAGTTCACCTCATACAAGTACTGAAGTGCAATCTCTTTATCATGAAAATGTAACTTACAAATGCCAATTTTTTTTTTTGGTTACATAACTACACTCAAAACCAAAACAGTATAAAACTTTAGAGCCTACAAGTCCGCTCAGTCCTACTACTTATTCTGCCAATCGCTAAGACATTGACGGGAGATACTGCTGCCTGCCTCTTAATTACATCACTTGAAAGTGGGAACAGGCATTCTCATGGCACTGTTGTAGCTGGCTGTGACGTTATTGATATAATCTGGGACCATATAGATCATTGTTGCAACCAAGGTCCTGTAGTGGCACCCAAATCTTGTATAAAGGGGTTCAAATGGGGTGTCTAAGACAAGGCTATGGTTTACTGGTTATGATTATATTGTCTATATGTGTGTATCACTTTTGTAGTTGAAGTTAGGAATACTGGCTCTATACTGTCTGTATTTCAAACTTATGCTATGCTTCTGGGTGACATCCCAGACAAACTGGTGTTAGCTCTGCCTAGCCTGCTTGATGGCCCATTAAGGACCATCAGCTATACAATGGACCCATTGAGAGAAGGCAGATACGCCTTGTAACTCAGCAAAGTATGCAGGGACTGGCCCATGTGACTCCAGACTCCATGTTGCTGTAATTTTCCACAGTAAGAACAAAGAGGTGTGCTTACACCTGGAAAAGACTA